GGAAAAGGATCAAAAAATAGGCTGGAGGCAATAACGGGAGTTAAAATAGATTGGAAACCTGAAGTTTTTTAATTAGGAATTATGTCGGTGAAATACAAAAAAGAAATCCAGTATTTAATACTACATATACTTACAGCGGCAAGGATCGCCTTTGCCCAGAAATGGAAGAACAAATTAACCCCAAATGAAGATGAAATAATAGTTATGAGTAAAATAAGAGGATTAAGAATGGTGAAATCTAAATGAAATACGATAGAAGGGAAATAATATAATGTGAGCGATATCGATTGATGATTGCTAAGATAAAAAACAGGAAGTTCCTGTTCGCATTGTATTGTATAAATGTGGTGTACGTCTATTTTACATGTTTGTTAATAAAAATCTTTTTTAAAAAAAGGTTAAAATTAACATCCAGTTCTCACAAACCAGTCCGAACCGGCTGAATCCCACCCCTGGTTGTTTCATATCTTTGAAGGACAACCTTGTTCTTAAGACTTGCCCATTGAGTATGTTCAGTTGGTCTGCTGGATCTCTAGCTTACCTTTACTCCAGGAGCAATTATCCCATTGGCCGTTTCCCCTACAACAGCAACCCTCTGAGGTAGACTAGGTTGATTGCCCAGACGTCACCCAAGGAAGTTCTTTCCTTTCATTGGCCCCAGTTCTCTTTCAGTGGGTCTTCTGCTGATGTTCCTCTGCTGTTCCTCACAGATCTTGGAATCATGAAGGAGCGTCCTCCAAGTGCCTACGTCCAGCCCACGTCCCCTGCTGTCAATTCATCAATCAGCAGCTCCCCGGATTGTCTTCCCTGGTGGACTCCAGAACCTGCCAGATGGAGGAGGAAGGAAGATGGTAAGATCCTTCTTGACCTGGGGTAGCAAGATAGACTCTGATCCTTCAAGAGCTGGGACATCTTGGTGTCCATCTCTCGGCAGAACATCTCTGTGGGCCAAGGGTTGTGGTTGGGATCTCAAGCAGGGATGACAGTGAAGGAAGTTGGCAGCCAACTCAAGAGTCTTCATGATCAACCACTGTGGTAGGCTTTCACTGCTGGTCTTGGCCATGGTAGCTTGACCTGTTTACCTACCTGTTTTCTACAGAGCTCGGCCAAGTCCAGAGTCCTTTGCAAAACCTCGGGAAGGGGTTCAAGGAGACCCCATTGAGTTCCCCCAGCCAGGCTTCTTCACCGGCCCTCAGCAGCTCTCCAAATGGTCTCCAAAGATGGACGTCGGGGCCAACGCAGCGGGCAAGGAGAGAGGAAGGTGAGAGGGTTGGGGACTCAGGTCTGGTGGGTTCCTGGTTGCAATGCTGACCTAAGGACCCTCAACTCTGTAGGACTCAGTCAGAGCAGCAACCCCTTGCAAGGCCTGGAGAAGTGCTTGAAGGACATCCAGAACCAGCGATGGTCCCCGGCCGTCACTTCCTCCATCCATAGCTCACCGGACAGACTCCGCCAGTGGACACCAGAGCCAGCGCCATGGGCCAGGAGGGAGGGAGGTGAGAGGTAGCTCCATGCCCCACACTCTCCAGTGGGATGCTTTGATGGTGGGGAAAGGGGGAGGAAGTTCAATCTTCTGGGAATGTTCCGCTGGGGTGACCTGTTCTCAGTTCTGTCACCACAGTGTCTATGGGTGGTGGAGAAGGAAGGATCCAGTTGAGCTCACCCACAATCCTTCTTGTCTGTCCATCCATCCATCATCTCTGTCTATCATTATCTCTCCCTCTTTCTAAAATCTCTCTCTATCAATTCGATATCTATCTATCAATCAATCAATCAATCAATCAATCAATCAATCAATCAATCAATCATTGATCTATCCATCCATCCATCCATCCATCCATCCATCCATCCATCCAACCAACCAACCAACCATCCATCCATCCAGAGGTAGGATGCACATACTTTAACAACCAGTTCGCTGAAAATGTGAGACCCACACACGCATGCTTCACATATGGGTGCTACACGCACGCACCTTTCACACTTGCCTGCAACACCTAAAACAAGGCTTTGTAGATACCCACACCTGCTAGGTCAGCCACGGTTAGTAGAACGGGAGAGGCGCACAAATCACCTTGGCTGCGGGGTGGAAAGTGAGATATCAAGGACCGGATAATGTCGCAGTGGGTGGGTGAGGCCAACCAGTGCTTGGAACTACCGGTTTGGGTGAACCGGTTCAAACTGGCAGCTGTATCTGCCTGCCTA